ATATATATATATATATATATATATATATATATATATATATATATAGTGGGGAGAGCCTTCTCATTGCTTCAAAGCAATGTACTAGACTTTATTGACTCCCAGTGGGAAGCCTCACCCTCTGAGAGGAGTGGATGGGGGGGGGAGTGGAATGAGGGAAAATGGAGGGAGCAAGAGGAGGGGAGTGAGTTGAAACTGGGATTGGTATGTAAAATGAGAAAAGATTGTCTTAAAAAATAAATAAATGAATTTATAAATAAAAGAATGACTATTGTGGAAGAAGCGATTAACATATCCTAAAGACAGAAAGCCTGGGAGAGCTCTCAGATAGAACATGCAGAGAAAGACTGAGGTGGTCAGGAGGCAGTGGGACTGGGGGAAGGTAGGCAAGAACCTTCACTGTGGTTTTTATGGAAGGAAATGAGGAAGGTATGATGGGCTATATTGGGGTGGTCAGTCTGAATACTCTCAGTGGGCTGTGGGGCGGTGCCTAGCTCTCTCTGCTTGTTGAATACCTGGCCCTGGAGGTAAAGGGCTGTGGTCCAGGTTGTGACAAGAATATAATGAGGGTAATTGGTGGAGAGCAGTAGATGGGATACAGAAAGGCTCAAAGGCAGGTGGTTGGTTGCTATGTTGTGTTTCCCAAGGGCTCAGGAGTTGAAGGCCTGGTCTCCAGCTGATTGGACTGTTAGAAGATGTTTCAGATTTTCGAAGGTAAAGCTTCGCTGCAGGAAGTCAGGTCACTTGAGGCTGTGTTCTTGGAGGCTACATTGTGTGCCCTTCTATTCTGCTTACCAAGAGGTGAGCACATTTCCCATCTGCCAAGATGGCTTTGTCTTGTTTCAGACCAACTGACCATGGGCTGAAATGATGGTCTAGATGAAATCTTTCTGTTTTTACGTGGTTCTTGTTGGGTATTATGTCCTGGTGACAGAAAGATTACTGATACCCCAACTGATGCTCCAAAAGTGCACTAACCCCTCAGGGAATGGTTCTTTCAGGGTCCACCAAACCCTATGATAGCAAAGTATTTATCACAATACAGAAAATAAAGGTATGGTTAATGAAAGCATAGCTGAATTTTCCCAGAAGAGGTAACACAAGGCACCATATGTACAGAGCCAAAGAAGCATGAACACTACTCAGTATGGGAAGAGGAGAGTATGGTAGAGATAGAGAATGTACACATGAGGTTAAGAGCGCATGTGTGTGTATGTGTTTACATATGTAGGGGCTAGACTAAGAGGTAAATACTATAATATAAAACTGGATTTTATCTCCCAGGCAAGAGGGAACATCAAAAGCTCTCTCATGAGGCCCATTGATGAAGAGACAGTAATTTGAGTTCCTTACAAAGCGGCCCATTGAAAACCAGCTGGGCTCTCCCTCACACTCCTTTCAATGAATCTCCTTTGAACTGTTTATTGGCTCCCCACCTGCTGCCCAGGTAAAGGCTTTAGATGTTTTCCTTTTAAAAATATTTAATGTATTAATTTCACACATGAGGAGAGAAATCATATTAAATCTCCCGACACAATTAGCAAGACTGCAAATACATTTTCAGAAACAAAGATGAATCATGTCATGTTCTAATTAAAGCCTGAAAGGTTTAATTAAAAAAGCGTCGTTCAGAGCAAAGTCGTTTAGGAGGAATTTGGGCTTAACTTTCCGAATCAGGAACATGGAAGTTCTTGTCCCACTTTTGCTGAGAGTGGAGACAGCGGATACCTATATGAAGGAAGCAAGGCCCCTGCCGTGAGATGAAACTGTGTTTTATACTCATATGAAATACCAGCTCAGAGGCAACTGAGGACGCAGAGATGAGAAACAGAGGCAAAGACAGGTGCCTTGGCTTCAGGATCCCATCACCACCATATAACACTCTCCTCAGGTACCAAGGAGGAGCCAAGGAGTCCTGCTACAGACAATAGGCTTTACATTTAAGTCCAAGTGCTTCCGTGTCAGAAGACTTGGAGCCTCATTCCTACACCATAAAGTGGGGTGGAAAGAACTTGATGTGTGGTTATGAGATCTGGGTAAAATGATGATGCAACTGAGTATGAGAGAGTACTTCTCTCAGCAACATCAGACAGACTAGCAGGCACTAGCAGGAGTCCACATGAGGGTATTTAGGAGATAAGGTATATTGTAACATGAAGGGGCCTGCTTGTTGGGGTATCTGTCCCGCCCGGTTTCCCACAGCTGGCAAGCTCCAAAGAAAATCACACAGAGGACTCCATAAGATTATAAACTGATTGATCCATTAGCTCAGGCTACTTATTAGCTCTTATAACTTATGTTAGCCCATTATTTTTTATCTATGCTAGCTACATGGCTCAGTACCTTTCTCAGCATGGCAGCTTACATGTTGCTTCTTCAGTCGTCTGGGCTGGACTGGCGGAGGGAGCTTCCTGCTTCCCAGAATTCTCCTGTTCTCATTCCATCACCTCTACTTCCTGTCTGGTTTTCCCACCTATACTTCCTGCTTGGCCAATCAGCATTTATTTAAAATATGATTGACAGATTACAGACAATTCTCCCACACCAGTATATCTCAGTGGCCATAAGAAAGGCCACTAGCCTTTTATAGCAGATCTAACTTCTACAAAATACTACAGTGTACGTATGTGCGCACGCACACACACACACACACACACACAAGCAAGTGTTGCCAGAGTCCTTCTTAAAACCACGTAAATTCATTTAACAATTAATTTTTAAAGGCTCATTTTGTCCATGTCCCAGGCCCTTCATGATTTGGTTCATGTCCCTCTTCTCTTGTCATTCTTTCTTTGCTAAGGGACACCTTGGCACAGTGGCTTTCCTTCTGCTTCTCTGACAAGTACACACTTCATGCCAGGCACTGTGCAGAGCTTTGATAGGCGGATTATTTCATTTAACTCTCATGACAGACTTAGGAGGAGGGGCTGCTAGTGTTTATCTATGCTTTCCAGTTGTCGGAAGTTAGGCTGTGGCCAGTTAGCTGCTATCCTAAGAATACGTGGTTAGTAAACAGCTTTGCTGCCATTCAAATCTATGTACACCTGCTTCATAATCCAAACACTTGACAAGATATAACGCTCCTGAATTTGGCTTTGCTGGAAATCCTGTAGCTACTCCATGGAAATGTTTGTAGGATGAGTAAATTGATGAAGGAGTAGACACACAGATTAGCTCCTGAAGATGTGTAGAAGTCGGCATGCTCAGCAAGCCAAGCCCGACTCATGAAGGAGACAATATGTAACTTTCGAAAGTCTAAGGGAGACAAGTGCATCTTTGTATTTGTTCCCTGAATGATCCTAATTGAATGTGAAGCTTGACTTTAGCAACTGAACTGTCCTCTGCTGATGGGTTTGAACCAGCTTGGCTCCTTTCCATTGACACAATAGACAGTCACACTATAATGATGGCATTGAATTTAATCTTCCTTGCTCCTCTCATCACCCAACCCCACACTATTATTTCTTAATTAATCTTTGGATTAAGACAAGTGGCAGGCCATGAGATGACTGGCCAGACACATTAGAAAGAATGTCACATACTTTTGTCCTGTTTCATTGCTACAGGTTGAGTTGCTGGCTGCCAAATGTCAACTTTCACAGCTCGATGAGTTCCTTTCTGAGCCTGTCACCAATAAACTATGTGAAATACCATCTCTTTTTCTTCAAGCAACAGCATAGCAACCCAGATGTCTATACCCAAAAATGCATGGAACAAAAGAAAAGAAGTATGATTTATTGAGACGACACATCCATTTCATCTAAGGTCTGTATTTTTAATGGCTTATTTTGAATAAAAACAAAGCCAAAGTTCAAGGAGAGTTCTCTTGATGCAACAGATAAAAGCAGCTGGGGAATAATGCTTTGTACACTGCAAAGATTTGTCACTCATATTGGTTTAGTAAGATGCTGATTGGCCAGTCGTCAGGCAGGAAGTATAGGCGGGGTGACCAGATTAAGAGAATTCTGGGAAGAGGAAAAGCAGAGACACAGTCACCAGTCAGACACAGAAGAAACAAGATGAGAATGTCTCCCTGATAAAAAGTACCAAGTCATGTGGCAAAATATAGACAAGAATTATGAGTTAATTTAAGTTGTAAGAGCTAGTAACAAAAAGCCTAAACTAATAGGTCAAACAGTTTATAATTAATATAAACTTCTGTATATTTCTTTGGGACTGAATGGTTGTAGAACTGGGCAGGACAAAAGCTTTCATCTACAAATGGTACTCAAATATTTGGCAAGAATTTCTACATAAATCCTGAGAACACTTTAAGAAAAATAATTCTAGACAGACAAGAACAGTTTCTTGGTAGCCATATTTACTCCAGTAAGCTCTGTTTGCCGGTGGTGAGCAGCGATGCGGCTCCTTTAAGAGAAGCCAGACTCAGAGTTAGTGGCAAAAACTTTTAAGAGGCCCTGCCACCAAACCCTTAAATGGTGTTTATGAGCAGCCAGCATCAGGCTTCTTGGTGGTGGCATGGACCTAGAAACTCCACAGAGCCATGGCAACAAATCTGGCTCCCACCAGTACCTCTGCCATGAATCTTGATTCTCATAAAGGTAAGGAATGAGGTGGAGCCAGCCGCCAAAGTTGCAGCTTTAATCCTAGCCATATCACTTAGCGGATTAAAGACTCATGTGGTCAGAAAGAATACAGTAAAGATAGATTTAGAGTCAGGTGATGGTGGTGCATGCCTTTAATTCCAGCACTCTGGAGGTAGAGGCAGGCAGATAGCTGTGAGTTCCAGGTATACAAGAGCTAGTTGCAGGACAGGCTCCAAAGCTACAGAGAAACCCTGTCTCAAAAAATTAAAAAACTAAAAAAAAAAAAAAAAAAAAAGAAGATAGATTCAGACAAAAAAAAAACCCTTTAAATGATTTACAGTATGTTTAAAAATATACATAGGCTTGGAAGAGAAAAGAAAAAGGATAAAGTTCTTTAAAAAAATAGAGTAGCTAGGCATGGTGGCACATGCCATTAATCCCAGCAATTTGGAGACAGAGGCAGGCATATCTCTGTGAGTTTGAGGCCAGTCTGGTTTACAGAGTGAGTTCCAGGACAGCCAAAGATACACAGCGAAACCCTGTCTCAAAAACCAAAAATTAAAAAATAAAAATAAAAGAAATAAAACAAAAAATGTCATGTAAAAATAGTAAATACACAGAGTCTGGATACTGTATGCTATTGTGTTGTCTTTGAATTGTTTGACTGCTGAGGAGGGAGCAATAGTTGCTAAAAGCATTTGATTAAAAATGCTTCTGGATTAATCCAACCTACATATTTTGAAAATTCCTTGACTTCAAAATTTAAGTCAAAAAACACACTACTTTGGAGAAGTGTTTTTGCTTTTTGTTCCCACAGGAAATGAGAGGCTGTGGATTCATTTTTGGTTAAGGAAAATAAGGTTTGATTGAGGACGATCCTCCTGAAAAATCTTCCATGGAAACAGATAGCCCAGATGATCCAACATTTTAGAGCATCATTATTGCAGTTTCTTTTGAGTTCTGCTTCCAGAACAGTTTCAAAGTTGCTGGTTAAGATGATCCAGCCTCACAGAATACGCCAGTTAGAGAACTTGACCATAATACTAAATTTTCTTTGGGTCCCTACAGCACCCCCAATCAGCAGGAAGTAGCCTAGAAAACTATGCTCACGTTTCCAAACAATACATTATGGATGCTTGTCTTTGTTTAATGTGTTGGATACAAGTTGTTATGGACAATGGTTAGGAAAAAAGTTAAACAAAGTAGATGAGATTCAGGGTCTTGTTTTGAAATGAAAAAAAGGGGATCTACTATTGGATAATGCTTTTGTACAGTGTAAATATTTTTCATTCATTTGGTTTAATAAAATGCAATTGGCCAGTAGCCAGGCAAGAAGTATAGGCAGGTCAACCAGATTGAGAATTCTGGGAAAAGAAGACCTAGTCAGTCACCAGTCAGATACAGAGGAAACCAGATGAGAATGTTTCACTGATAAAAAGTACCAAGCCATGTGGCTAAACAAAGATAAGAATTATGGGTTAATTTAAGTTATAATAGCTAGTTAAAAATAAACTTGAGCTAATAGGCCAAACAGTTTATAATTAACATAAGTCTCCATGTGTTTCTTTGGGACCAAATAACTGTAGGACTAGGTGGGACAGAAACTTGCATCTACAAAATCAAACATGAAAATCCCTTGAACTGAAGTCTCTCTGAGTTAAAATGATTGCTTGTCATCACTTATAATATCTGTGTTTTATAGAGTCAGGGGAATATGCTAGAAGAGCAAATAATAAGCCAGTACTCCTAGGGGAAATACAGGGTTTGGTTCTTGCAAGTCTCTGATCAAAGTTAAGATACTCAATTGACATAACTTTCAGTTTTTAAAGATTTATCTTTAATTAAAAGTGTGTGTGTGTGTGTGTGTGTGTGTGTGTGTGAATGTGTGAGAGTATGTGTATATGAATGCAGGTGCCTACAGTATTTGGACAAGAGCATCATATTCCCAAATGTGGAGCTACAGGTGGTTGTGAATCACTTGACATGGGTACTAGGAGCATAACTATGGTCCTCTAGAAGAGCAGCAAGTACTCTTAACAATTGAGTCAGTCACCTTTCTAGCAATCACAATCTATTTTATAAGTGTTCATCTGAAGACATTTTATTTTACACACACACACAAAACCTGGAAAGTCCATTTTTGTGCTGGTTAGCTTTTGTCAACTTGACACAGACTAGAGTCATCTTAGAGTGGGGAATAGCATTTTAGAAATTGCCTCCATCCAATTGACCTGTGAGCATATCTGTGGACCATTCTCTTGGTTAATGATTAACATAGGAGGGCACAGTCCACTCTGGAAGGTGCCATACTTGGCAGGTGGTGTCTAAGATAGAAAGATGAGCAAGTCAGTGAGTATCATTCCACCATGGTCTCTGTTTCAGTTTTTGCTTCAAGTTCCTGACCCGATTTCCCTTAAGGGATGGATTGTGACCTGGGAAATGTGAGATGAAATAAAGCCCTTTCTTCTTTTTCAAGTTGCTTTTGGTCTGTATTTTATCAACAGAACTAAACTATACACATTTATCCCTCTTTATAACCTAAATCTCTCTAGTCTCTGATACTTCCTGCCTAGTAAGAAAGCCAATGGGTCTAATTAACTGGGATCATTATGTTGGCTACGAAAAGAGACTTTAGTAACTATGAGTTGGTAAAATCATGCCTCTCTTACTTAACATCTCCCCCTAAATGGCTTGTAAGATCTCTTGAGCCAGGGGCACACCTTAGCTCTCTTGGGACAACTGGCCAGTTGTTTTGATTGGCATCATCACATTTTGGGTGTGAAACCATGTTTTCCATTTATTTTGCTTTGGGGAGTTGCAGAACGTAGTTAAGATGCAAAATCTTCTATGAAAAACGTTGCTTCCAGGGATGTCTCATGAAGAAAAGCTAGGTCAGGGCCTGGGGACACACTGTGCTGGAGGTTACAACGAGAGGTAAATCAGAACAATTACCAGTCCCACCAGAAAGTCTTCCTCTGGCAAAATATGATGGATTAAAGTCTTTATGTTGATGCTGAAGGTTACCAGAATTTCTTGCATTTAAAAACATGTTTTCGCTTTCACCACACTTCATTTTTTTTCCAACTTCCTTCTACCTACCCTACAAGGGAAGACGCTGTGAAATACACCTGCAGGGACTTAATGTTGGCTTGGCAGGAAGTCCTTGGTGGTGATCGAGAAGACACGTGGTGTTGACAATGACAGGATCTCACAGACACATCCTGTGATGGGGCAAATATCATGACTAAGGCCAGAACTGCCCTGCACTTAAAATGTAGGAGCAGTTTCCAACATATTTACTGAACACAGGAATATTGCCTTAGAATTTTTTAAGCATAGTTTTCTTAAAAAGGTGTCTTCTGACTTGTATTTCAGAGGGTACTGGAATTGAACTGATGCAAACGGCTACCAGCCATCAAGCGTCTATTCTCTACCAAGCCTTTGCACATTGTTTGAATACTTATAAACGTCTGGGGGTGGATACAAGAGGAGTGAGCCTGAAAATGGTAAAATACATTGCTTGACATTCCCAAAGAATTAACAAATACATATATATTTGATTCATTTTGTTTTAAGTTATCTTTTATTTCATGATAAAATTAAAAATATATGAATATGCATAATCTACCAATATTTGTGGCGAATACTTAAAATTATTATTAAAATGATATTTTCTTATTTATGAAAAAAGTATAACTTACTAGAGGCTTTTGACACATATTTCTCTGTACATGTATTTTACAAAACATTTTTGCTTTAATTTTTGGCTTCCACTATTCTCACAAAGCCAGAGAGGTTGTTGGAAAGAGAGATGTAGATATTTCAGGTCTCTCCATTTTTTTTTTTCAGGCATGGAATACTTCTGGTAACCGGCAGTGGGCAAGACTGATAAGAAATGGGCCCATGAGGGAAGAAAACTCCCTCAGGATTGCATAGACACTTGCAGTGTTGAAGCAGAGCTAGAAGACTGCCAAGCCCAGCCTCCCCCTCTTCTGTGCGCTCTGCAAATGCTTGTTCCAAAGTTCCCTGGGGGTGGGGTCTGGGAAGGTGTTTAGACAAGTAGTGAGGGGATTCCTGTCCCAGCTCTCCAGAAGAGGGGAGCACTAATTTCAGGGACCAGTGCCAGCTGTCTGCTCCAAGTACACGCACCCATCAGTGGCTAGTACTTGTTCCTTCCAAATCAAAGTTCTTTTCCTGGCTCTGTTACTAATGGTTGAAGGAGGGGAGAAAGGCCAAAGGAAGAAATGGTTAAAGGAGTGAAAAAGAACACAACTCACTGTTTGTAGAGGCTGGGGCTTGGGGGAAGAAAGTAAAAACACAGTTCCCCACACATTCGGCCAGGTCCAAGATAACTGTGATGTTTTCAATTCGCTCTGATTCCTTCCCCTAGACCCCATTCACTGCAGCCTGTCATCAGCTCACACCTTCTTTCTCCTCTCCCTTCACAGACTTTCTTCGACCTTAGGGCTGGCCAGGCATCTTCCCTTGATCCAATAGCAAGCCACAAAATTCTCCTTACCCGCCTAGATGTCATCATGGGTGATATACATAAGTAAGGTTACTAAAATAAATCACCTTCAATCTGGCATCTGTCCCTACACATTTACCGTCCCACAGATCAGTGCTCCTAGAAATACAAAATCCCGTCTCTATTGTCATGTTGCCTTTTTGAAATCCATCACTCGAAAACAAAGGGAGGCATATCAAATGTCTGGCGGAAGGTATCTTGTGCTGGGATTATCCCTAAAAGGAAAGGGATAATTATTTGCCTAATTTATGAAAGAGATAAAGTAGATTCATTTTCATAAGCAAGGGACAAATATTTTCTACACATTCAGTGGCTTTCTTTGGTACCCTGCCATTTGATTGTGTTCTTTTTGATTGCTTTTATTCATGTTAGCTAAGAGTCTGTTATCTTGAATTAGTACAAAGCTTTGCTTATTTAAAAAGGGAAAAGAGTAGGTCTTGCAGTAGAACTTGAAAAGCACTGAAGTATGTAAAATTGAAGCACATTCAAGCATTCTTTTTTGAAAGTAGTAATTACAACAGTGGAGAAGATGTCAGGCTGCAGAAACACTATCCTTCAAGAGTACAGGCACGCATACTGTTAATGCGTTCCATGGCATTCAGGTTGGCACGGATTTCTAATATTCTTTACAATATCTACTATTGTTTGAATACACCCTCCCAGGAGTTCATATTCCAGAAACCCCATACTCAAGGCTGTGTTAAGGCTATTTGGAGGTGAGGCTTTGGTGCTTTCATCAGGATTAGTTGGGCTAATGAGGGAAGAGGCACCATATGGGATTTCGCTAGTGACCTTAAAGAAGAGGGAGAAAGTCCTAGCCTCTGCCAAATGATGATGAATGTTCTTCTCTTTCCTATCCTCTAGAGCCAGGTGGCAGATATTTATAGTGTGTGTGATGCTAGGAACTGTATATAGGTCCCACATACACTAGGTAGGCAGTCTGCTATTCAACAACTTTGATTATTTATTTCTTGGACTCTGGTGTTTTGTTATAGGTAACAACAAAAACAAGAGACATGGAAGGGTTGGGGGGAAAAGGAGGGGAGGAGAAGTAATTAGATTTTAATTAAAATAAAAACAAAGCAACACAATAAGATATCTAAATCTACAGAGTGTAATACATGAGGAGACCAATAAAAATAAATCTTATTTCTTATTTATTTATTACTGAAATCCTCTTCTCACTGATGTTGTACCCAAAGTCCAAGTTTTGTGCTTTTAGTTTAACCTGTGATCATATTTTCATATATGTATCTGTGACTGAATAATAATATTTTAATATTATGTTTCCTGGAAAACATATGACTTCTTAGCTTACAACTGTTCTTCCCACTGTAGTAATAAATTGATTCTGGATTCTATGCCAACAACTTCAAGTTAGAAATGGAGAAAAGATGAATTCAATAAGACAGTCAGATCAAAAGGACTGACTTAAAATATAAACAGACTCTAAAAGATCAGAGAATCAAAGGTAGCATTCCCAGAATGAATGGAGATCTTTAGATGAAGGAAGAAAAGAGTAAGCGAGACAGGAGGAAGAGAGTTTAATCAATGGGTTTAGTCAATGAGAAAAATCTGATGATGGGCTTTAGTACCTATTTCCTACCCCAAGTGGAGTTCCAGAGCAGGGGGAGGTGCATATCATTGATACTTCCAGGTGAGTGGAAGGAATCTGGCAACAGAGGGAATACAAATCCTGTACCTAAATCCCAGAAAAGGATGTCAAGATCTGAGTATAATTTAGAGTTTAACATTGGTTCTCAAATGGACATGTTACTGGAAGGTAAATTGGTGAAGCATTTTAGAGGTGGGTTCATTAGTGGTGGGGTTTATTAGGGTTGCTCTTTTGAATAGTATATAGAGACCCTGGGCTATTCTATTTGTTTCCTGCATATCATGAGTTAAGCAGCATTCCATCATGATAGATGTCTTACCCCTGATGCTCTACTTCACCATGAGCCTAAAGAGATGGGGCCAAGTGACCATGAACTGAAACCATGAGTCAAGATAAATCTTTCCTTCTATTAATTTGTCTATCTTCAGTCTTTCGTCACAGCAGCCAAAAGTTGGTAACACAAATCTCAAGAAGTAAACCTTTTGGATCTAACAAACTGGGTGACTGTTCATTGTGCCTCTGAACATGGCATTAAAATAAGCAGAGGGAAACAGGAATATGGCACAAAGCATGGGAAGACTGTTGGAAATTATGACTGGGACGAAAAGGCTGCAAAATATCCTGTCAGGAGCAATGATTGACGACCAAGACACACACATGTCATGTCAGATAACAGTGTATGTAGAGAAGGACAGGGACTCAACTTCCTTTTTATTTGTTTGTGTTGTTTTATGGGACAGTATCTTTTACTGTTGACCAGGCTGGCCTTGAATTCAGTGTGTATCCAAGGCTGGTACTGAACTCATGGTAATCCTTCTGCCCCAGCCTCTGAAATACTGAGATTAGAGGCATGGTCCACCATGCCTGGCTAAGGACTTAACTTTCTTTGACTAGCAGCCTTGGCATGTTATTACTCCCATCATATCTGGGACACATAAAAAGAGGAGTAGAAGTGTGTTATATTGAATTAACTGGTAATAAATTCATGTTATCTAGAAGGAGAGGGACTATTCATAAAAGTCTATCTTTTCATTCCATCACTAGCTAGAAGTTATACTGCTTTGACCACACATATAATTTAAGATTCTGTACCCATATCATAGGTGACACACTAAACTACATAGCCTTCATAGAAATAGAGAAAATAAGGGATTAAATATATCCTTCAAGTGACTTTTCCATAAGAATGTTTTACAGAATTGAATATGATTGCAGCAGGTTGATTGAAGTATTTTAGTATACACATTTGAACTCAGCCTGAATAAGAACAAAATAGCAGTGAAGGGCAAGATCTAAGCCATGTCACTATTAAAGGTCTGGCCAAGGCACGACATCAAATATTAGAGCCCTGTGAAGAAAGTTGATAAGGGACTATTTCACAGCTGTGATCAAAGAGCAATGACAGAGAGTCATCTGCTTTGAGAGCTAAATGAAGCTCAGGCAGAAGCAATGGAAGCTAGTCACTCACAACCTAGTGCCAATACTCAAAATGCCAGGTTCTTTCTCATTAGTACAGACTATATACTTTGGGTCTTCAGATGGGAGGGACTGAAAGGACTATTTGTAGACTGTAAGGTAATCATATTTCAGATGGTACAACTTTATTTTAAATCTTTCAATTTGTACCAACCAGAATAAGGTAAGGTATGCTGCATTGACAAGAATCCAGGATGTCAATGGCTTTGTAAGGCGTGAGGACTGAAGGTCAATCAGACAAAGTAAATCTGCTTAGCATGGGTGGAGGAACTGAACTTGAGTCCTCTTCCAGAGTAATACACACTCTTAATAACTGAGCCATCTTTCCAGCCTAATAATTCTATCTATTCTTATAAATACATTTTAGAGCCTCAGCTATAAAATCATTTCAATAAGGAGATGGCTCAATTTATAAAATAGAACTTGAATTTGTAAGAGAAGAAGTGCCTACATAGATTAGCTTGTCTAGTGTGGATGCCTACTACAGCATGTGCCACACATTAGTCTCTATAATCAATGTAAACCAAATCAGGATGTGTCAGTGATCAATTAAAGACCCAACTTAAAGAGTTGGAATGCCATTTCTTACCATCTAAAACTTGTATATCATAACCTTCCTTATACCAAGTGGGTAAGATTTTAACATGAATGTTTCATCAATTTTTTTGTGCCTTTGTTAGGTGGTCCCTCCTTTAGGATGGTTACACATGTCGCCTTCCAGTGCTAAGTGAATTAAAAATATTAAATGTGGAGAGACTTAAAGCTTCTCTCGCATTTTCACAATGCATGAAATTTGGAACAGCATTGAGAACAATGCAAATGTGAAGAGATGGTTCTCTATCTTGTAATTCATTGCTCAGTTAATACTTGCTCTGCTCACAGACACAGGTCTATTTAGTGATTTAAGGAATAATAGAGTTGAACTTCTCGATAAAAAGACCTTTAAGTGAAAGAATGACTCATTTGGTTTTTGCCCACTCATTGTTCATTTCCCAGTCATTGAGTTACACCTATCATCATGTTCGGTTGACATGGTTTAAGTGGCTTAGTGTTTACCTTAAAGAAAAGTCATAAATTCATCCCACCACTCTGCACGCCCTGTGCATGGCCGCTCATTACTGGCTCAGGAATGTACTGGGATCTAATAAGAGCATTCTTATAGGGATTGCTGAGAACAGATTATTTCTCCTTCCTTCCCATGGTGAGATAAAGGATAGTAAGATAGCCTGCAGGCATCTTAACAGGTCTGTGGAGACCCTTCCTGCGCATGGAACCTACATAAGAGAAAATGGACCTCAGATGAAAAATGAGGGGAGAATTTTGATTATGTAAATTAGGCACCCAATTCCAGAAGGGTCAGAAGTATTGGTTCATGCATTCAACATCCTTTGTGTGGATCTGTCTGTATGGTAGACACAGTCATGCCTTGGTGTTGATGCTAATGATCAAGACAAGACAACAGGTTAGGAGTCAGTGGTCACCACATAAGTCCACACAGAGACACAGGCAGCACGAAGGCAGGATTTACAGAGCCCTTGCTGTTTATGAGGCACTAAGTGTGAGGGAATGTTATATTGGTATGGATTTCATTATATCTCAACCTCATTATTTTTTATTCATTTTCTCCTGGGCTTCCTTAAGCTGAGAATTTCTTATCTGCATTTTTAAAGTCCAACATTGTGCCTAGAACAAATTATGTACACCATAAATGTTTGAGTAAAAGAATGAATGAATGTTGCTTAGTGAAGGCGTGTCTTTAGCGCAGCAAAGAAATGTGACAAAAGATACTTTGCTTCATCCAGTTTTTACAACATGGGCTACATATTTCTTGAATGCGTATGAAAAAGAATGCCATTCATAAAACAAGCTAGCTGCCAGCTCTGAAATGACTTAGATCAAGTATGGAAGGGGAAATCTAAACAAAGAGAAGGCTTGCATGCACTAAAAAGGAAAGGATGGACAAATGCAGAGGGATCTGTGTTTCAGTTTCCATAGTGACCCTCTATAGATTCTTCTATTTTTAGTTGTGAGCATAGACTTTAATGACTGGGTAATCTTTCCAGTCCCTGCCATTTTTTTTTTTTGGTTCTCTACAGATTCTTCAATTGCTGTTTTCCTTTTCCTTGTTCTGATATTGTTGCAAGGTATGTTTTCATAGTTGCCAGTAACCAGGAAGATCTGAGATCTCACCTTACTGTAAGCTCGGAAAGATGCTGCAAGACTTCAGGAGAGCCCTGAATTACAGATGATACTACCTCCCACAAAATAGCATGAGCCATAAACAACAGCGTAGTGATCAGCTTCTCCAGCTCCACAAACTCATCGGTTAGTGTGCACTAATAGATACCTGCAGACACAGTGGTTTATGAAAAGAGAGACCCAGGACAGTGTGTGTGTGTGTGTGTGTGATCCTGGCAATCAAACCCAGGACTTTGTGTATCTGAGGCAAAGCACTCTACCTCTAAGCCACATTCCTAGCCCCAAATCTGTTTTTAATGAGTAGTAATTTGCTTGTCTTTGGTTATAGAAATAAGCAGTTTTACTATAAGGATTAATGAGCTCTGCCACCCTTTGTGCTGGCAGGAGACAGTGTCTCTATCTTTTCAAGCCTTTGACTATATATATGAGTATAAGAGGGTAATCTGGAGCAATGGGCAGCACTTGCCTCCCTTGGAAAACCTGCAAAAACACAGAGTTCCAGGGCAACCTTCTCTCTACCATAGTAAAGTAGGAAAAGAAAATGCAAATTACATTATTTAAGTCTGAGTGTATTAATCCCTGGATATTTAATTTCCCCTCAAACAGAATTCCTGCCACATCACAAAAAGAAGCTATATAAAGTTCATTTCACTAAGAAGCTACCTGAGGAACAAAAAGCAAAATTTATATTGTTTTTTTTTCTCCTGAATCATTTTACAATGGAAGTTAGATTCTTCTTTTGGCTTTTGATATGTTAGGATTAATTTTGATGTATTTATTCCTGAGTGTGTTTAGAAATAGTATAAGGTAGAGATGTAACGACAGTTTATACTGGACCATTAACTTCATGCCCCCAGTAGAATTTAATGA